AAGCTCAAAAAATGTTGAACATGGAGCCTCAGAGCCTAGCCCCGAGCAGCGGCGCTCGGCCCAGTAAGTTTCTTAGTAGTTCCCTAGAAGACGATTTTTTAGACCCCCCGAATCTCAGATCTGAGCATTTAATATACATTACGTTATGAAATGTTTAAACCTCTTTTAATAAATTTAGAATTGAAGAAGTTGGTTTATCTTTACTTGATGAACTACGCCAAATCCCAGCCCGACATGGCGATCATGGCAGTTAACACTTTCGTGAAGGACTGTGAAGATCCCAACCCTTTGATCCGCGCGCTTGCAGTGCGCACCATGGGGTGCATCAGGGTTGAGAAGATCACCGAGTATCTTTGTGAACCCCTCAGAAAATGCTTGAAGGTAGTTAATTCATAAAAATAATGGTATAAACATTATATTTTCAATTGGCTCATAGTAAATTTTCTTTTGTGTTTTATTTTAAGCTGAACCATCATACATGATTATTTTGTATTTTGTGTTTGAAAATAAATACTAAATGAAATAAAAATTTAAACTTGCAATTATTTTCCGACATATGTCTTCTTGTTTGACTGAAATTTTCACGAATCGCAAAATATCAATCAAAACCTGCTAACAACAATATTTTGCTCGCAAAACCGGAAGCTGAACTCTTGAAAAAAAAAAAAAGATTATTTAAAAAATCCTTATCTCTGAATTGTTCATGAATAAATAACGTAAAAAGAAGAAACATAATTTGAAAATTTCTTTTAAAGTCAGAGAATCAGAAAATCTGAAAGAAATTTTCATGACCTGGATCCGGATTTATTTTTTTCCAGTGCGGATCCAGGATCCGGATCTGGATCCAAATCAAAGTTAAATGGATCCTCTAAGCACTGCATAATTTTCTAAATAAGGAATGCTTGATTTTTACTTTGTATCAGGATGAGGATCCCTATGTACGGAAAACGGCTGCAGTATCAGTAGCTAAGCTACATGATATCAACGCTGGATTAGTTGAAGAGCAGGGATTTCTTGATTCCTTAAAGGTAGAACTAAAACAGACAAGTGTATTTAAAGAAATATATAGACTAGGAAGTGACAGGAACCATATATAATGCGTCAAATCTCTTTACACAATGTGTGTACATTTGAGGGGGGGGGGTCTTAGTACAGTTCCTTGAGTTGATGAGCATATTGAGTGGTGGGCTTCCTTTTTAGTCTCTTTTTTTGTATTTTAACAATTTTGGCTTTTGTTAACAAAAGACGATCTGAATTATATTCAGAAAGTTACATGTCAAAAAATTTTGTTTTAAAATGAATAAAAGTACCAACAATAAAGTTAAAAACGAAGAAATCTAATAGTTTGTATTTAGTATTCTACTTATATATTTAATATTTATTTTCTTGAAAAAGCAATTTTTTTTTTCATAACGCATTCTTATTTGATTTATATTCCAGGAACTGTTGGGGGATTCCAATCCTATGGTTGTAGCCAACGCTGTTGCGGCATTATCTGAGATAAACGAGTCTAGCCCTACAGGTATGTATAGATTATTACACTATAGACAGTACTCTCACCGTTTTAAATATAATTTTAGCTATTTTTACCACTTAACATCTCAAAACCAAACTAAGAACATTCCCGTGGTTCTTCCGATTTTCCCAATCAAACTTTAAGGCAAATGGTCAAGTGGTGCATGAGTTATGATTGTGCAAACAAATAGACAAACAGCGCTTGTAACTGAATAACTGGAATATTTTTAGCTGGGAGATCACTTCTGTGACATTTTCAGCGAGTCAGTATATCTTTTTTGTTTCTACTGATAGTGCATTAAGTTAAACCAGGGATCTTGGCGCCCCTGACCCCTTCACCAGGGATCTCGGCGCCCCTGACATCTAATACATTGAAGAAATATGTCATACATATTCTTAAAACTGATCAATGAGGTGGCATTTTTAATGTCTACTGGCAAACTGTTCCATCTTTTAATAACTCTCAAGAAGTTTTTCCTAACATCTAGATTGCACATTTAGGTTCATATTGCATGTAGAAAACCTTGTTTCTCGTTGATCTGTGTCTACAGACCTTGTAAACCATGTACTTTCTTTTACATTATAATGTTTATGGAGAACCTTCTTACTCTTCTTTCTTTCAAGGTGGTCAAGTTGACCTCCTTTAGTTGATCAAGGTATAAGGTACGAAGGCCTGAAGTTAACTTCAAATCTCGTTTTTGAACACTCAATATAGATGCACCTACATACTCACAAGACCACCATTTTGGAGCTTTTTGTTCATACTGAAAAATGCTATGTTTCCGAATTCCCTGAAAAATTGTTAAATGATATGTTTAGGGAAACCAATTATCGAGATGAATACTGCCACTATTAACAAGCTGCTGACTGCCCTAAATGAATGTACGGAGTGGGGACAGGTTTGTAATTCTGTAAATAATTCATTAGTCTATGAAAATCGGTCCTTTTTTCTTTCTTTTCTCTGGATTTTATTTGAAAAAAATGGGGTGTATATTTTAAAGAAATACTGAAAAAAAATGTAAATCGGACAATAAAAGACAGTGTTTTTTACTCATTTTAATACTTTTCCCTAACAGTTAATTTATTTTCCCCCTAAGATAATTAAGTTTCACTATTTTAGCGAATAAAGCCTTTCATAGCTTCATGACATACCTTCTGGGGCGCAAAATTATTTTTAAAATGTGGGGGGAAGGATGTTTTGAGAAAATATACCCCCTGCAAAAAAGTTAATATTCTTCAGTCTTCAGTGCAAAAGCAAGAACAAAATTAATATTTATAGAAAATGGATTAAGACTACTTTTTTTATGGAATTGGTTTTTATAGGTATTTATCCTCGACTCCCTGTCCAACTATAACCCCAGCGATGACCGGGAGGCGAAGTCTATTTGTGAACGTATTACTCCACGCCTTGCTCACGCAAACGCTGCTGTTGTTCTTTCGGCGGTCAAGGTTTGTTTATTATTAAATTTCCTTAAAGGGACTTTAAGCGTGATTTAAGTGACCCTCCATGTAAAGTTGGCAATGCTCTATTTACAACCTAAAACCTTAATCTGATAAAAACTGTGGAAGATACCGCCGTTTGTTTTGGCTAGGAAAAAAAGTTAATTTCTGTGAATTTCTCCTTGGCTTCCTATAGGCAAGAAATGCGTAAGTCCCTTTTGCAGAGAACCCGCAAATGAAAATCAACAGTAAAAGAAACAAAAAAATCGGGGATTGTCATCTTTGCATAGAGGGTCACTTGAACTTACGCTTACAGTCCCTTTAAATTATACTTTTTTCGTACTTAATCCAAAAACAAAAATTAATTAATTGACGTTGTTTAATGTTGATATTGATTTGTCATCTAAGTAAAAACTGCCCTTGTTATGATACCACCCTGCACTGTTAGAGCTTTGTCGGTGATCATTTTCTAAACATTCTGTATACTATTTACCCCCTAATTATTGTTTTAGGTGGTTTTGATCGGAGAATTACTGCCCTTCCCTTTAAGTTGGGGGGGGGGGGGTTAATATTTTTATGGTTATTTTGTATTCTTTATATTAGAATTGAATTTTATTTTACTAGGCTATCTTCTATTTCAATTTCTATTTCTATAATTGTAAAACAAAACCAAAAATTTCGTGGATTTTCAAAATTTTAAGAAAATCGAATTGTATTGTAGGCTAAAATTTGAAATTTGATCATACATAAACCTTCTCTGTAGTCATGTGAGGTCCCACACAAAATTTTGGCCTCAGCCGTTTTATTAGATACAAACAAACAGACACTCACGCAAATTATATATATAGATACTTATTGTGTAAATGTTAAGGTTTTGATGAAGTATATGGAGATGATGGGACAAGACTCCGACTCTGTATCCAACCTGAGCAAGAAACTCTCTCCTCCACTTGTAACTCTTCTGTCTAGCGAACCTGAGGTAATTAGATAGACTCATTTAGTGCTTCAATCATTATTTACAGCATGTCCCAATAAACATTGGAAATTGAGTGATGAATAAGAGCTCGTCTTTGTTAAGAAGTAGCAGTTGTGATACCTGATTTCAAAAGTCATAATATTATTAGATCTGCTAGAGTTTATTTTAAGAAAACGGTAAAAGTCTGTAATGTTGTGAATGTAATGTCTCTTCTGCAAGATTGTTTTCATACAGGAATTTTCTTGTTTTACTGCGTAGAACCATCTGAGATCTAAACATTATAAACTCTAGCCGACGAAAATCCTATGGATTACAGCATTCTCAGTGGGTGTCACTAAACTAAATCCAAAATCGTTTACAAAGACGACTTCGAAATACTCGCTTAATTCCCATGTTTATTGTGACACCCTGTATAGTGAGCAGGGTTTTGTGGAGAAATGGATTAAAAATTTAATTTAAATACTTTGTTCAGGGGCATATGTTTTTAATTCATCTATTTAACAATTTTTGGGCTCTGTATGTGTGCTATTGGGGGGAAAATCATTAAATACCATGAACAATAAGGAAAATCATTTTTAAGTAATGTTTTTCAGAATAAGAACCAACTTTGTTTAAGCTGCTAAATAATCTAACATTTAACTTGCTTAGGTTCAGTATGTTGCATTAAGGAATATAAACCTTATAATACAGAAGCGTCCTGAAATCCTGAAACATGAGATGAAGGTAAAATTTATAATTTAGAAACGTATCCTTTGCTTAAACTCCTTCTACCGTGGGTCCGATCTAGGTTACGGAAGTAGATCCAGGGGTTTATATTAGTTTCATATCTCTCCCCCCCCCCTCTAATATTTTATTGTATTTCTAAAAGTCATAACCAAAAACCCGGAGCCCGCAAAATTTCGAAGAAAAAGACCAAAAATGTTGCCATAGAATAAGGATATAAAATCCCTTCATCATTCTTATGTTGGGACTCAGATTAATCTACCGAGTAGCCCCACCACAGACTACACAGACTGCTCATACACTCTACCTGGATAGGCTGAGCAGGCCTATAGTGTCCCGGCACGCCATGCTACGGTTCCTTGTAATGTTTTTTGACTGACATCTTACGGCCACTTGTTGCATTCAAGAGTTAAGTTTTACAACTTTTAAAGAAATACTCCAATTTTAAACATAAAACATAACATTTATGAATATCATCTATTTTTGAAGATTTTGCATTTCCTATTCAAAGGATCCATAAATATCCCTAAATACAGATGTCTCCTGATTGGTCGTGTACAGTACTTGTACATAATGGAACATGCTGTGGAAAATATCGCAAATTATAGGTGTTAATCGATCTCTGTAACTCTCTTATCTCTGAGACCCTTCCCCAATCAGAAATATGTATCTTATCTTATAAAGGCCCCCTATGAAGTAGGGAGCTGATATTATTGTATTTGAAGAGTTGTTATTATGTTTATAGCCTAATATCACAAAAATATTATTTTTTTTCATAACTATAAAGTTCATCTAATGCTTAAATAATCTTATTATTATAAATAAGTATGAATTTTAGTTGGTTTCAACTACTTTCAAATTATATATAACTATATAATATATAATATAATAATATATTAATATAGGTCATGCTGAGTTTTTGATGTGCTCATAGGTAGTCTCTATGAGTTTGATTGATCTGTTCGATTGATCTGTTTGATTGATCTGTTTGACTGCGTCCTTTAAAAAGTCTTCTTTGCAGGTTTTCTTTGTGAAGTACAACGATCCTATTTACATCAAGTTGGAGAAGCTGGACATTATGATCAGATTAACCAGCCAAGCAAACATTGCACAAGTTCTTTCAGAGCTTAAGGTTACAAACTTGTTAACACTTCTTAAGTCATAACTATTGCTTCTTTAGTTCAGTGTTTAAGTTTATGTAAATGGGAACCGAATTTAATGAATTTGAACTAGGTCTAAAGACGGTTCAACCAAGTATCTTTAATTGATGATTCAGGGGTTTTCCATATCTTATAGATGCACTTCAGATCAGTAGTTGAATCGTCTGAATGTAGTTTATCGACCTAGTTCAAATTCATTTAATTCGGTCCTGGTTTAAACATTATTTTTTTCATCTAAATATTATTAACAAAAATGGATGCATAAAGATCCTTGCTAAAAATTTGTAAAAAAGGAAGAATTTGAACCAGCATACCCGTCTATAGTATGCCTCACGTAATCCCTGCATTAATTAATTTAATTTAATTAATTTGTTGTGAAATACAGGAGTATGCCACTGAAGTCGATGTTGACTTTGTGAGGAAGTCTGTAAGAGCAATTGGTCGCTGCGCTATTAAGGTAAAAAAAGAAAGAAAAGAAAAAGAGTATGTTGTCAAGGAATTTTTTACTCTGTTTTAAAAAATGGGATTTAATACTGAATATAAACCATTGAATAATTATTGATCGAAAGTAGTACCTTTGCAACCCAATTATGCTTATTGTTCAATTGCTCATGGCTTAGTATATTAAAAACATTTTATAAAAACATTACTTTTAAGAACTTGTACATTGTCCATATCTTCAATAATAAAATAAGTTTGGAATGAAAAGTTTAATTTTTAAAGGTGGAGCAGTCAGCCGAGAGGTGTGTCTCTACCCTTTTGGATCTCATTCAGACCAAAGTAAGTAGAAATTCGGGAAACATTACTCTACATTATATCTATATTTATAATCTTATATAACTGTGCTATCTTCTATTTCAATTTTTTGTAATTGCTCAATCTTTCAGCATTTTCTTTTCGATAAAACTAAACTGAATTTGTTTGCCGATTTACAATTTTTTTCGTGGATTTTCAATATTTTACGAAAATCCAAAAATTTTTGAGACAATTGTTTGTAATTCTATGTATTCATAATCCTTTTCTGAGGTAATGTGAGGTCCCACACAAAATTTGGGCCCTATCGGTTCAGCCGTTTTGACGTTTATTGGATAAAACGGACAACCAGACAAGCAAAGTATATAAAAGTAGTAATCTCTGTTTGTCTGTTTGTGTGTTTGTATTTTCGATCTTAATTCATTAACCTTAACCTTGCCGATTTGCCTCAGATTTTGATTGGGGAACTAATGAGAATTAAAGGAATGTTTTTAACTTGGTTTGAACGTTTAAGTTCACCAGGTTGATTTTTATAGGGAACACTTTGTTTCCAGGCAACGCTGTGTTCCCAAGCTGGTCATCTATATAATAAAACAAGACATTCATATATATATTGCCTAACGCCTAACAATCGGCTGAGCTGAATGGGCGGAAATTTTTCGTAGACACTCATGGGTAGTCGGGGGGGGGGGGGGGGTGTTATAGGCTAAAAAAAAATGAAAATTCTTAGTTGAGCGGATTAGCTTTTGTAGTGAAAGTTTTGATCAATAAAATCAGAACATCAGAACTGAGCTGAAATTTATTTGATTTAAGAAAATACCGTGGTAGACCCTCGATGTAAAATCCCCAGACCGCCATCGGATGTTAAGGGCCAGTGCCCAAAACTTAAGAATTGGATACCTTTAATCCCGATCGGTTAATCTGAAAATCGAATGTGTACGCTTGATTTCCTTCTTAATCTACTCCTTTTTATCTCTCCCTGCCAGTTTCCGACCAATAAGAGTTCACCCATTAAATGGCGCGCAAAATTAATATTTCCAGGCCTCTCTCATTAGCTGTTCTGGTTTCTCCAACCCCCCCTTGATTGGTTCAGTTCTATACACTTCTGTTGATAAAAACTTAAGATCAAATTAATTTAGAAATTAACAAAAAGAGAGGATTAAGCATTGATCTCGATATCAACATTCATCAATTCTAAAGTTATCAGCTTTGATTTGTCTAGGTGAACTACGTGGTCCAGGAAGCTATAGTAGTTATCAAAGATATCTTCAGAAAGTATCCCAACAAGTATGAGAGTATCATCGCGACCCTTTGCGAGAATCTTGATACCTTGGATGAACCCGAGGCTAGAGCCAGTATGATCTGGATTATTGGTAAATATCATTTTATAATAAGGTTTTATTAAACATCTGTAAATTTGTAATCTCTGCTTGTTTGTTTGTCCGATCATAACTCAGGAACCCCTTGACTGATTTGCCTCAAATTTTGATTGGGGAACTCGGTAGAATCACGGGAATGTTCTTCGCTTGGTAGAAAGAAAAAACTTAGTTTCCAGGCAAAGGTGGGTTCCTACGCTTGTCTAATATGTTACAGTTAAAACATAAACAATCTACAAATTTCGGTAAAACTTTCAACTAGTCGGATGCAGTCCTTTTTAGGAAACAGTTTTATTATTATCTTTGAAGGTGAGTACGCGGAGAGAATTGATAACGCAGATGAACTTCTTGAATCCTTCCTTGACAACTTTCACGATGAGAATAGTCAGGTTAGACAAATATAATGGCCAACGCTAGTAATCAGGGTTTTGCAATTTTTTCAAACATATGATTTCCTATTTAAAAAGTTAAATTATCTTCTCTATTTCGATTGGTTGAAGGCTTCAAAGATTCAAAGATTTCAAAGTAATTTCAAAGTAATTACTCGATTACGATTTCGGGGAGAATTTTCTTTAAAAGAACATTTTGTCCTCTATGTTCTGAATATGTAAAAAAATGTATTGCAGAGTGGCCAAAATGTCACGGATTGAACAGATTTTTTAATTTTTACCAAAAAATTGTACGGATTGTACGAAATGTACGGATTATGTCTCGAATTGTACGGATTTTCAGGATTTTTAGCCCGGAAAACATAATTTTTCTCGATTTTGACTGAACAAAAGATCACTTTTGAATAAAAATTCATGAAAATGTTCAAAAATAAATTCTCGTAAAAATGAAGTTCAGCTTATTATCTTCATTCCGAATTATATTAGGTTGCTTGTTGTTTCAATTGACAATTGACAATTCAATTGACAATTCTTTAATCTTTTATTTAAAATTTTCCAGAAATACACGATGTCCCCCCCCAAAAAAAAAAAAATTTGAAGCCTTGAAAGAATAGAATTATCAAACTAAAGAATCATGGTCCATTATGAACGGAATGGGATTAGGGATTCCCTTATTTTTTAATTTTCTTCCTTTTTTATAATGCAGTCACTTCCTAATTATGAAATTTCTTTTTTTTTCATTTAAAATTCAGATATATCTGGAATTGATAAATTACCCAAAAATAAGTACGAAAAGTCTGACTTTTCAAAGTTAAAACCAACCAATGCTGATTTTCTTGTCATGTTTTAAACGTCCCAAAGAATATGGGAATTAAGAAGTCGTCATCATTTACATGTACAATGTATAATGTACATGTTTTAAGCTTTCCGAAAGTGGTCGGCCTTCGTTGAATCTTTAAATTGAAAATCAAAAACTTTCTTGAAGTCATCACTTAATCCTCGTGTTAATTGGGAACTCTCTGTAGACTGTCGAGTGTCGAGTGTTGATAAAATGCAAAAGAAATTATCTTAACTTTAAATCTTATTAAATTTTAATGTCAATGATTACTAAATTAATACATAGGCTATTCATTATTGCAAAGTAATGAGTTTTAAGCTGAGACAAATAAGGAAACGCATCCCAATTCAGAAAATAAAAATAATAGTTAACATACATACAAACATAAAAAAGCAAAAAAAATTAAATTGTATTTTTTATTTTCTCGTAATTTTTTTTTCGACTTTATCATCTTTATCATCCTTACACTGCACAGTGTACCCTTATATGAACATTGTACAAAGTTCATTTTTGTTTCAGATAAATTTAAAGCAATGTGAGGTCAGCCTTTGCTCACATACGAACACAAAGAAGAATGATGTTAATAGATATGAGAAATAATTTTTTTTAGTTTTGAATTTCGGATGTTTTTTTATAACATTTTTTTTAATTTGTACGGATTTTTTCTTAAATTTACGGATTGTACGGATTTTTAAAAAAAAATGTCGGGATGTGCGAATTGTTCGGATTTTTTTGTTGAAAATTTACGGATTTTTGTATGGATTTTTCTCAAAAAGTTTTGGCCATGAATGAATTTAGTCATGGTTATTTCTTTGAAGAGGCCATGAATGAATTTAGTCATGGTTATTTCTTTGAAGAAGAAAAATAAAAACTTTAAAATAAGAATACTTTTATGTTATTTGTTTATTTAGGTTCAGCTTCAACTTCTGACAGGTATTGTTAAACTGTTCCTGAAGCGTCCTACAGATACACAGGAGTTGGTACAACAGGTTCTATCCCTAGCTACTCAGGTAATAAAACTCAGCTATGATATTCCAATTCTAGCTACTCGCCACTCTAGTACAAATACTACGGAATACCGGAAGTAATAAGATTTTTATACACTGAAAGGGACAGTAAGCGTAATTTCAAGTGACCCTCCATGCAAAGATGGTAAATCCTGATACACAACGGTTCCATTGAAACCTTAATCTGCTAAATAAAATTGAAGTCACCGTCTTTTTGTTTATTTCTGTGAGTTCTCTTGCTTCTTTTAAATTAGAAATGCGTCACGTTCACAGAGAAACTGCAAATGAAATAAACAGTTTAAAGAAACAAAAACATTAATATCTAAAAAGCCAAGGCTTTCATGGGTACTGTTGTAAATCAGACATTGCCATCTTTGCATGGAGGATCACTTGAAATTACACTTACAGTTCCTTTAAGAATTCATAAATCTACATGAAGGAAGGATAATGTCAAATCAAATAAGTAGATAAACTTTCAACGTGAAAATATTTAACATTTTTTAAGCAACTTAGTTTTATCTCATTTTAAATATTAACGTAGGACTCTGAGAATCCTGATCTTCGAGATCGTGGATTTATTTATTGGAGACTTCTTTCTACCGATCCTGCTGCTGCTAAGGACGTTGTACTCGCGGAGAAACCTCTCATAGGTAATAGCGGAGCTAATCCTTGTTTTCACTGTAGTGTAGCCTGTAGGTCAAGATACATTGCCTGCAGGTTGATAAATAATAATAATAATAGGTCAGGAAAGCCTACCAATTATTAGGAAGGGATAGAACAGATTAGAACATGATATGACTGCTTAGTGCTTATTTCAAGATAACATTTATTTATTCATTTATTACGAAGAGCCATTGAACCCCCCAGTTAAATGACACGTTAGCCAAGATAAGCTTTCCAGAACTAGTTCATCCAGATATATTTTATAGGGTTATTTCATCTAAAAATACTAGCTAGGGTTTATTCATGATTATACTGTGATAGTTCGCACAGGTATATTGTCCACTGTCCAGGGTTATTCATCCAGACATTGCATTCAGAGTTAGTTAGTTTATCCGGTGTAGATGTACTTCTACTTAATGAATGGGAACGGACAGGACAAAACAGAGTAGTACAGAATAAGACATAAAACGCTTAAACTTAATATGATACGACAGGACTTGAGAACAGCATGTGTTACTGGCATTTTGTAATTTAGGATTTTTGTTTTGTGCTCCTCGCGATCATTCCTTTCATTCTTGGGAATGCATTGACTTTAAAAGAGGAGGGGGAATTGATTTTTTTTTTTCAAATATTTGCTCCTGTCAAAGAATTAAAATTTCAATAATCATTTGTAATTTTTAGCTGAGGAAACTGATTTACTTGAGCCTACTCTACTCGATGAATTGATTTGTCACATCTCTTCTCTTGCCAGTGTTTATCATAAACCTCCTACCGCATTCGTCGAAGGAAAAGTAAGATTTTTTTAATACTTTTTTTCTTGCTTTTTTCATTAAAAAATCTATTGAAATCTTTACAAGAATCTGCATTCTTTGATATGATTTTGGGGTAAATGTTTAGAGAACTATTTTTATCCGGATTGATTGATTGATTTTTTTCCAGGTCGGATTGAAAAAGATTCTGCCGACTAGGTCTGACGTGGAAGGTGATTCTGACATAATGGCCGCCCAGGTAAATCATATTGAACCTGAGGGGGGGGGGGGAAGCAAGGCTCATTTTATGATTTTTAAAAACTTGGTTTTTACGCGCCCCCTTTCTTCTATAATTTAAAATTGGTCATTTTAATTATTCTAAAATATTGGCGTATTTTCTATTTTTATTGACGCATTTTCTGCCTTTACGCTCCATTAATCTTACCTGTGAGAGTTTCCATAAAAAAAAATTCGGTCAGAGCTGAAAACTTTAGAATGGGATATCCTTAATCCTGATCGGATAATTAATCTGGAGATTAAAAATGAGTGGAGAACAAGCAATATTTAATCTCGAGATTAAGAAAAAGAGTGGATTAAGCCTTAATCCCGATATCCACCATTCTAAAGTTTTCAGCTCTGATCGGTTAAGTCGTGTTGAGATTTATTGAATACGAACAGAAACAAAGTATACATATACAATGCAATAAAGGCGCGCCGCGCTTTCTTTCCTATTAAAATGTCTTGACTGTTCGCCATTTTTATTCATTTTCTAATTTTGTTGGCCGAGTTTTCTGTTAAAATTGTTGATCTTTTAAACTACATTTTAATGTCAGGCACCATTTCGGGAAAACATTTTACTACTTCGACCAATCATAAATCTTCCCACTATAATTAAGTATGAGTTGCCACACAAAAAAAATTGGGCCCGATCTGTTCAGCCGTTTTGACGTTATTGGATACAAGCAAACAGACAGACAGACAACCAAAGTATATATTTAAGTCTTCTTCCGGGGTACTGGGGGCATTTTTCTTGGATTCGTTTATAGCGGAAGAGGAGTGCCCGGTTTCAAGGACGGGTTGATAATAATAATTATGTTTACAGGTAATTCCTGAGCCAGGTTCACTTATTGGAGACCTTCTCTCAATGGATCTTGGTGGTGGCGGAGGTTTAATGCTAGGTGGTGCAGGGCATCCTCCAGTCACTGATCTTCTTGGAGGTGGTTTGGATCAACTACTGGGTGGTTCACTTCCTGACACTGGAGGTATAACATTTTTTTAGTTAACTTTTTTTCAGACCCCCCCCCCCCCACCACCACAATCTTTTCTTTGGAGATAAATGTCCTTTCAACTTATTTCTGCGAAATCCATTATTTTCTAAATTAATTTAGCTGGAGGAAATACAAATAGTTTACTGGGAGACATTTTCGGCATGGGAAGCTCTGCACATGCAGGTATAGAGTTTTTAAAAAATTTTATATTTTCCTCTTTCAAGGTGTTAGTGTTTACTTTTCATTTTAGTTTTTTTGCATTACTGAAAACTATCTTTTACGTCACTTTTTTCACCTAAATTTTAAACTTGAATATTATGTATATTTTGATAAAAAAAAAAATTGGCAGTATTATAAATGGAAAATATTCTCTTACAAACATTTGATTCTCTTACATTTTCCTTTTTAAATAGGATTATGTTTCTTGTAATACTGGTTTACATTTACATTTAATATTAGTTATATTGTCAATAATAACTACATCTTCATGTAATAAATACTTGATTTGATTTGATTTGATTTGTTGAACGATTAATAAAAATTATTTTATATTTAAAATCGAATCCCTTTGTTAGGTTATATTCCTCCAAAGCAGGTCTGGTTACCAGCTGCCAAAGGAAAAGGCTTAGAAATTTCTGGATCTTGGTCCAGGTAGGTTTTTTTTTTTATAAATTTTAGATTTAAAAGAAGTGAATTTTTATTGATGCTGGTCCACGGGCATCCCACTCATCAGCACTTCCTTATACTAGAAGAGAAGTGTTCGCGAAAAATGAAAGGCTGATATCGAATTGAATTCGATTTTTACTGTATCTGAGTAATTTAATTAATTAATAACTAAATTAAATAATTGATAATTAAAAGCATGTCTAATTCATTAGGATACATTTGTATATAGTTGATATTTCATATTATATCATATCTGTTCGGTTCCATAGTAGTAAAGCTATCATATAAAAATTCCCATTATTACACGGTTCAGGAGGAACAATTTTAATATTGTTCGCTTCCTAGCGTTTAGGAATGCTTATTCTTACACTGTAGGTGTAGAATTTTCATTCTTTAACGCTCAGACCGTGTAAGAATGGAAATTATTACACGGTCAGAGCGTGAAAGAATGTATATTCTTACACGCTCCAAGCATTAAAGAATGGAAATTCTTACTACTTAAAGAATATTCATTCTTACACGCTCCTTATATTGATCTTTTCAGTATAGATCAACATTGATATTAACTTAATTATTTTGTACTGACAACATGCACAGGACAAACTCACCTTTTTCCTTTACATTAACACATGCAAACTTACCTTTTTTAACTTAAAAACAACATGCTCACTTACCTTTTTCTTTTATATTAAAACATGCAAGCTTACCTTTTCATGCTCACTTTCCTTTTAAGTTTTTTGAAGTATTGATATACCTTAATTCAGAAATATCAATTTGAATCTCAACCATAGTCCTGACAAAAGAGTGGAAATTAACATTTTCTGACCTTGCCCAAAAATATGGACGATGCTTTTAGCCTTACATTAGACACTTTCATCAAACTGCCGAGACTCACAGCATACTGCCCGACTGCCTACTTTATGAATTTTTTAGTTCATCTTCATTTCAAACCAAGTTTGGTGAGATTTTGCAAATCTCTGCATACTTGTAATTGTAAGGTCAGAGATTTTCAGTCTGAGTCACCATATCTCACATAGTTCGAAATGATGAAGTGAAACCACAATCAAAACCAAAAAAAAAGTATAAAAACTTATCATTGAAATATTAGTGTCACACTTTAAATGGAGTCTTAGCACTTCATAGCAATGAAAACAAACCAGTAAATCTTGCTTCATGAATAAAAGACAAAGATCTTCATCAGTTCATGTCAAACTGATTCTTACTAGATAACCTGCTTTTATCTCCTCTTTTTGGAAGATTTAGGATCTAATATCCAGAAAATGATTTCTTCTAAAAATGAAGACACGATATTGTTCAGTAGATTTAGACAACCCACTACTATATCTTCTCCCCATCTAAAAAAACTCAGGGCACATTAAACATGCTGTATCTAAATGTAGTATCAACTTGAAAAAACGAGCAAAATCATTAGAAATTGGTTAACAAATAAACTAAACTAAGGAAACAATCACACCACATGCATTACTTTCAAATTAAGCACTAATTTTTACTTTTTAAAATGTTTTTATTTTAACATTTTAACATTAGAAATAAAAAACGGTGATAGTCAGAACAAGAGCATAAAACTTATTTGCAACCTTTCATAATGTGAACTGTTCCAACTTGAATAGTCGGATTTCACCAGAATTATTTTTTAGTATAATTTCTTGGGTATGTGCCCTTGGAACCTCACATATATGATATAATAATAATACTTTTATTTTTTAGAATGTACTTTAAATGTCGATAACTTTGCCGCTAGGTGCCTTTCCAAGGGAAATTCCTGAAATATCGATAGAAGATAAAAGTAAAGTTAGGAGGGATCGATATCGAATTCATTCATTTCGATGTGAGCCTTTGCCCACTTACATCTTCCTTAATTTAAGGATGAAACTATTTCATCCGAAATGTCAAATTCTTTTTGTACCAGCAAAACATTATGCAGTAGCAAGTCTAGCAAAAAAAAAGAAAATCTATGTAAATCAAAACTAATTCAGTAAATAACAATTCAACACGGATTTCAAGACGGATATTTTGATATTCATCTTTAATTGTACGAATTTTTTTCTGACTTACATTAGTGATTTTATTTAAAATCCGAATGAGTTTGAAAATTGAAGAAAGAATATCTCGAATCTTTGTTATTTAATGTATCAAAGAAAACTTCAGAACTGGTGCAAGGTGAAATTTGAGCATCCTTCTCAGAAAAGTAGTTTCATCCTTATTACAATATTTAACATCGTTTTTTGATATAGTTAAAGGCAGTGACCGTCAATGTACTTTAGTTGAACTGGCAATACTACATTCTTAGGTCAACTTCCATACATTGCTGGCCACTCCCTTAGATGCTCTTATATATTTAGGCGTAACAACGTAATTCACATGGAGATGACGTTTAGCAACAAGGCACTGTCTGCAATGCAGGGGTTCGCAATCCAGCTGAACAAGAATAGTTTTGGTTTGACACCAACCCAACCTCTCAACATTCCGATACTCAATGCCAACCAAACCCTAGGTAATAATTTAATTTTCTCATAAATCTCGTATAAAGTATTGTATGGGTGTTCTTTTTTTTGATTGTTATATCCATTGCTTACTGCTTAGGGATCCGGATCCGATGGATCCGCAAAATTTTGGCTTCCGAGATCCGGTTACGCAAAAATATGCGGATACACGGGGAAAAATATTGCTTAAACAACCCAAATAAGCAACAAAAAAAATGAAATTTCTTTTTTGTTTAAAAAAATCAGTAAATTATGAATTTTTAACCTTTTTGATTTGATTTTAATTACAACGAACACAAATGCAATCTTTGTTTTTCTTTAATCAGAATAAAGTTGATAACGGGATTATTTCTAGATATATCTCTGCCTATGAACTGTACCGGTGGAATACAGAAGATGGAACCTCTCTCAAATATTCAGGTTTAGTTTTGTTAATTTGGTCTTATTCTGTCATTTTTAGAACCTGTACAGATCATTTTTAGTCAAACAATTTAATTGCGGTGGCACACGGGAAAAGTAAAACCAATAAAAAATTTGTATTTTAAAGATCGGACTGAACCCCCGGAGTTTTGATAAGAAATGAAACTTTAACCCCTTAAAGGATGCCCTAAGCAATGAGATTTTATTTTATTTTATTTGTTGTATAATACGTTCTTTTTGTACTGATCTAGATTCTGTAAAAAAAAACAAGAACTTGTCATTGAAATTAATTTCAAAACTTAAAAACAATGGAAAACTTTTAATAGTAATAAACTTTTAGGTTGCAATAAAAAACAGCATTGATGTGTTCTATTTCGCTTGCATCGCTCCGCTCCACATCTACTTTACTGAGGATGGAAACATGGAGAAGAAAACCTTCTTAGCTACCTGGAAGGTAAAAATATATTTTATTAAAGGAACAGGCATTAAAATAGATAAATGGGTGGCTGTTTTGAGTCTAAATTATAGGGATTGTAACTGAGTGTAAACGTAATTTTTATGTGACTCCTTTTTTAAAAGAGTGCCGTGTCAAAGATTTTATTTCTTTTTTCATTGAGGATCTTTTGTAAATTTTATGAGACTTTATCGATTCCTTTTTCATTAAGGATCTTATGTAGTTAAACTCATTATTGTAAACAGGATATTCCTGCGGCTAATGAACTGCAGTACACTATCAATGACGTGGAGTGTACTTCGGACGGTATGTATCACTTTTCACTACAAGTAAATTTATTTTAAGCATTCATTACTTTAACTTTGATTTTTGATTAAACAAGCAGTATTTTAGCAAGAGAAAAATTGTTTTATTTTTTTAATTTAACAATAATTGATTTGAAACTTTAATCGTTAAAATATTTTTTTCTGTTTTTAGGAATCTCGACCAAGATGGCGCAAAACAACGCGTTTACTGTTGCTAAGCGAACCCTAGAGGGCCAGGATATGATTTATCAATCAATCAAACTTTCAAACGGGATCTGGGCTCTCGTAGGTATGACTTGAACAGTATATTTATGATGTGTATTGGGTTAAAGTTCATTTATTTTATGGTTTATTTGACTGTTTTTTGAGATGAAGGAAGAATACGTTATGAGCCTTGAAGTCATGGCGAAACAGAAACAACTTGCTTGATTCTCGATACTCAAAATTAGTCGTGTGTTTTTCACATTTCTCATTTGAAATTAAATTACGAGACAATTTATTTTATTAATCAAAGTTGTATTCTAGAGCTGAAGCTACAGCCTGGTAATCCTACAGTACAGCTCAGCTTCAAATCTAGAGTTACAGATATAGCTCAGGGTATATTCCAGGTACGGCATGCAAATCTTAAAGGGACTGTAAGCGTAATTTTGATTGAGACTCCATGCAGAGAGGGCAATCAAAACCGATCCTTTCAACCTTTGAGTAGAGAGGGCTATGTGTAGAAATGTGTTGAATAGTTCTGAAACCCGGCTTTTAAACTAAGTGTTTAACAATTAAAAGCTTTTCATTAGATTATTAAGGATATGTTTGACATCCTTGATCAGTCAAAGGTTTAAAAAGTATCGTTGGGAATCGGGGATTCCCCTCTTTAAAGGGACCGTTCACTTATTAGGGTAATTTCATGGCAAACCAATTAGCCTATTAGCTATTCATTGTTTTTAGTCTTATTTTTCAACGATATCTATGACCAAAGAAAAAGCCAATTTATCGTTTAAAATTCCAGCGTAAAGGTATGATACCATTGCATACACACTATTTAAAGTTTTTCCACTAACAGCCCAATAAAATCTAAAATTATCATATTTCAATGACATCCTGGGGAATTATAGGAAAAGGTATCAAACCGTCAAATGTTTAAAATAAGTTATATTTTGAAAAAAGACAATTTTGAAATAATTTTGAAAAAAATAAAGATATCTAGTAATCTACAATGAACTATTAGATTGTAGCGACGAATAAAGGACCTAAATAAACGATCTAAAAGTATATTGAAATATATAATTTACAAAATGGGTATTTTGGTTAGCAAAGCACAAAGGTATCATACCTTTGCGTTGGAATTCTGAATGATAAATCGGCTTTCTCTCAGGCCACAGTTGTCTTTAAAAAGTGAGTCTAATACCATTGAATAGCAAATAGGCTGTTAAGTTTACCCTCAAATTACCCAAGTAAGTGAAATGTCCCTTTAGTTAGGAGGTCACTTGAAATTACGCTACAGTCCTTTTAATTAATTTATTCTGAAATCTGTTTTCTTCACTTTTCATTTCAAAGTCTTAAATATTATTACAAATATTAACTGTAAATGATTATAGTTAAACGTAATGGTTACCATTTAAGATGAAAAGTGATCTTAACAATAACAATCTCAATTGATTTAATTTAGTGCATAGGATCCGGATCCTTGGATCTGCAACATTTTGGCTTAGATCCGGATCCGCAGACATATCCGGGATACACGGATCCGGATCCTAGGGGCAAAATCTTGAAACTTACAAACAAAAATATGTTGCTCTCGAAACCCAAATCTAAAGTGTAGAAAAAAGAGAGATTATCAAAATTTCCTCATCCTGAATAGTTAATCAAGCTTTAGCATAAAGATAACGAAAAAAAGCTAATTTGAAAGCTCTTCTCCTATTAAAAATCAGTAAATCTTAAAGAAATGTTCATTACCTGGATCCGGATTTATTATTTTCCAGTGCGGATCCAGGATCCGCATCAAAATGAAATTGATCCTAAGCACTGGTTTTTATTTGATAATTTCTTCAAAACCTATCTTTACGTTTTTGCAACATTTTTTATCTACATTCTACAATATATAATATATATATATTCGATTTTAGGTCTACGACGCAATTCTTCACAACTGATTTGTTCTTACGTAATGTATTTTATTGTATTGTATTACAGATGGATGATTTAATTGTAATATTTATTGTATCTTCGTAATTCCAATTCGGAAAATTTAAGGATGATTATTATATTCATTATTTTACCAGTGTTTTAAGTATTCGCATTTAAATGATCAATAAAATTTGATATATAATTAAATATTAAATCATTATTTTTTAATTGTCAAGGATTAGAATAATCTTGGCAATCACAGAACCTCTCCGATACCAAACACATTGCACTCAAATTTATTCCATGGCAAAATGTAACAGAAAAATAAATGAAGATGAAAAGCCCGATATCGTAAAAGCGTTTAAGATTTAAACAGTTCAACCCAGAACTTAGAAGTCATCGAAAGAATTTGTAAAATGTCGTTCGGAACGGTTTACATTTGATTACATTTTTTGTCTTAACAAATGGAAGTAATCAAAATTGTAATGCAAATCTGATCACGAGATGTCATTTATATTGTTGAGAACGTTTATCAAGATCAGATATATTTACAGGATGCAAATACTAGATGAGACAATGCTTCCTTTACTGCGCACTCTCCACTAAACCCCACTTTTCCTTCGGTCCGTTTCCTTCAGATTACTGCAGTACACACCGAAAGCTTTGTTTTGGGAGGTGCGGGACATGTAACCATTAACCATCGTCGTACATGAACAGGGTGTCCCAATAAACATGGTAATTAAGGGACAAATTCGAACTCGTCTTTGTTACAAGTTAGCGCTCTAAAACCTTTGATTTCATAGGTTATAAAGTAGTGTCTGCAGAGTATATATTTTGTCAACTGTAAGCGACGGTTGTTTTTCTTCAACTAGTGTTCTGTAATGTAACAATATCCTAAAATTTATTTACAAAGACAATATCAAAATTGTCACTTAATTCCCATGTTTATTGGGACCACCATGTAAAATATTTTTTCTTGCAGAAATTGTCCATACCCTCTCTATATCCTCTATATGCTTCCAGTAATTTATTTATTAATTTGCAACGTATAATTTTAGACTTGCAGGAGTAATAGTTTTTCCAATGTTTCTCGATTTACTTAATAGCTCGTCGGCCATTTACAAACAATTAACAATTAACATGGTAATCTTTAAGGTCTGAATCTTGAAAAAAAATCTTTCAGATCATCTAGGAGAAAAGTGGTTGGAAAGTTAAAATTTTTATTTCTGATCATTTCTGTCTCAAAATTTAACGAATATTATGTTTATTATAGAATGTCAAAAATAAAAATGACTCGTTGACTTCTAAATTTCGCCTTCATGTTTTAAATTAATCTCTTATTTAAAAATGTCATGATTTGCTATAAGAACAACTAGACAAATTGATAATTATTAAGGACTTTACTATCATGTGTTTGCCACTAAAACTAGTTCACTTCTGATTGAGTGTTGCCTATTTCTTAATACTGTTAAGTGAAGAATTTTAGATACCTGCNTTGACGACTATATCCGTTAGTAAACGATTTAAACATTAATGTTTTAACACAAGGCAGCTCAATTGTACTACTCCTAGAAGAGAAGTTGAAAGATTTTGTTAAGGATATCTGGATCCGGCGTTGTTGCATGCAATGTTTATAATATTAACATCGTTTAATGAACTCATACATTTTGCAACATAGCGTGATTACCTCACCTAGTATTTTATTGTTATATTTACAGGGTTACCCACAAAGAATGATATTTCAAAATTATAAAATCCGTTCATCTTCAAGCTGAAATATAAAATCAACGGTAGATTCCAAATCTCATTCTAGATATAAGAAATTGTTGATTCTGGGATATTTAAAAACTGATAAAATTTGTTCATCTTCAAGCTGAAATATAAAATCAACTGTAGATCAAAATCTCATTCTATCTAGGTATAAGAAATTGTTGATTCTGGGCTATTTCAAAACTGATAAAATACACTCATCTTTAAGCTGAAATATGAAATCAATGGTAGATTCAAAATCTTATTCTATACTTTTACTTATAGTATTCATTCAAGTTTATTTAACAGCTTTAAAAAATTCGAAATTGAAATGAAAAGTCTAGGGAACATACTGTATTAATTTACTCTACTGCATATAATTTGTGAACATTTACATTATTTGACGTTGAACTCCCTTTCAGGCTTAAAAGGACTGAAAAAAATCATACCGAGAGATTCTCTAAACTCCCCTCTAGTATATATTCTATTCTCTATGGTTTTGTCACTTTGTGTAATTTTGGATGTTTTGTTTTTGGACTTTTTTTTGGGGCGTTTTGTATCCAATCCATATTCCTAAAAACCGCCTGTATAGTGCATAGAATAGATACAGTTTTTAGTTTTCTTGATAAAACAGATCTCAATAGTCAATATGTTACAAAAAGATCGGTGAAGAGTGAAATAATTGATAATTCATAATACATGGTTATATTTATATAATAATAAATTGCACTTAAATTAAAAACATTGAAATGACTTACATTTGTAGTTTAACTAACAGTGACAAAAAATTAGAACTGTCTAGTAATTCTTAAGTTATCGCTTATGACTTACTAGGCCATCTAGAAATACATACATGCAAGAGACAAAAATCTGTTTTAATCTGCTTCACGATCAATTACAGTCTTCCCTTCATCATTGTTTTCTTCCTCCAAGCTAGCCCAGCTACACGTCTGTGTTGACCGATTTTGTAGCTGAACACTCAGACTTCTGAAAATATGCTTTCTTTAAAACAAATTATAAAGGTGTCCTTAAAAACATGAGAGTTGGTAAACAGTTTTGAAATGTCGTCTTACATAAGTTGTTTGATAAAATTATTCTTTAAGTTGCTAGATATCTTTAATAATAAAAAATACAACACTAATAAAACATATTTGACTTTGAGTAAAAGATTCTTTTTTCGAAATAAACTGCAAAAAGTCTTCCAATATATCTATACAGTATATGGAAGAAGACATTCAAAACTATTCACCAACTGTCATGTTTCGTGGGACACCCTGAATAATTTAATCTCTCCTAAAGGTTTAAACTATTTAAAAACGTTTAAAAATGTTGGAAACGGAAAAAACCTTTTACACCGAAGTGAACGATTAAATCTGAGATGCTGGGAATGACTCCAAGTGCTGTGGCGTTCTCTGGGCAATTCTTCTGTAAAACTGTCGTCTTCATTTAGGTTCTCCATTTCCATATTCAAAAAGAGTGCTGGGGTGGAGTTTCTATAGTCAAAATAGTTACGTTGAGAAGGCGAGGGTGGAGGATGATAGCTTTGACTCTTATGATGATGCATTACAGCCCCCTTTGTGTTCTAAAAAACAAATTTTTAATCATGCAGAGTTATATTAAATTTTATTTTCAGTATTTATTGCATAACATTAAATCATAAGCAGTACAAAACGGACTAAAAGCCGTCTTCACGCAAAACCGCCGCTTTAGTGGAATTGTAAATTTAACCAGACCAGCTTAAAGTCAGAACACGTCAACCTATTTGCACCGGCCAGCCAGCCCTGCCTACAGAGTCCAGATCGTCCAGAGCAAGGTCAAAAGTTGGTGTACCTGGCAGTGCAGACTCAGACTCAAATGTACATGATCGTTGAGCTTGTGTCTTTGTTTAATTTTTCAACTAAAAATGTAGCTAAACTTTTTGTAATTTGTCAGGGTTAGGACCGATATATCTCTGAAAATTATTATTACCAATCAATTTCACATACCACAAAGGATGATACTTTAAAGAAGACCAGATACTCACAAGTCCGGGGCTAAGTGAAGTCTTCTCTTTTAGATATAAATTCTGTATGGCTTATTCATTGACTCAATGCAACCAGTTACATTTTAATCACTATTTTAAGTAAACGACGGTTACAATTCTGTACAGGGTAACCCTATAGTTACAGATAAAACAATCCTGATAAAGCCGTCTTTCATTTCGCTTTATCCAGGACATTACTGTGCTACAGCACACAATGTTCATTGTTTTACACAATAAAAGTTTAAAATTAACCTCTTACTTTAAAATCGTGGTACTTTACCTTTTCTGGTTTGAGAAAATTTATTTGTGAGGAATAACTTGTTGGTAATGTTTGTGCGTTGTGAATCATTCCACCGGAACATTGGACTAACTACTGCTTACCGAACTAATCGGAGCTGAAAACTTTAAAATTTGATACCTTTAATATGATCGCTTAATCTAAATATGAATTGTGAAAACTTTTGATTTTCTTGTTAATCCTTTCTTCGGGATATCCCTGCCGGGTTCCAACCAATGAGAGTTCTCTCATTGATTGTGCCACAAAATTTCCCGGCTTCTGATTGGCTGATCAATTTATGCACAGGACACTCTGATTGGTTAAATTTTAGACACACTTTCTTGGGTAGCAAAATAAAAGTAATATTAATCTGCAAATTATCGAAAAAAGAAAAGATCAAGCAACGATCTCGATATCCACAATTCAAAAGTTTGGTTTTACCTGACAGTGATAATGAGTAGGCTAGTATGACAGCTTTGATCTTGTGGTCTGCGCTGACAAGATACAAGGGGACGAAGGCAAGCCAGTGAATGGTGTTAATACAGTTGGTAAACAAGATGAACCTGAAGATGTTTAAATATTATATTTAAGCGTAATTTCAAATGACCCTCCATGGCGAAAATCACCCTTAAGTTTCTGGTAGCGTCTAATCCAATCAGGGTTAACTCACGTGCTTATTTACCCCACAGAACCAATAGAGATAGCAACGGCGCGACGTTAGGATACACCTATGTATAGTGGGATGGCAATGCCAGATATAAAATGGAACCCTTTAAAGTTTTGTCTGATCAAATATGAATTAGATAATCACGTTTTTTATTCTTTAAACTGTTTATTTTCATTTGCGGTTATTTGCAAAAGTGACATGCGCATTTTTTGCTCATAAGAACAAGAAGCAATGGAGAAACTATCATAATAAAACACTTTTCGAGCAGATTAAGGTTTTAAAGGTGTCCTTGTGAAAGGGGCAAAATCGCTTTCCTGAAATTTACTTTAAAACAGAGAACATGAAATAATTCTTCATGATAAAGCAGGAATAAGAGCATAAATATGTTTAACCTGGTTTCATTGAAGCCTCCTGGGCATTTCCTAGTCTTGAAGGCATACATGGTGGCAGAAATTATCAAAAGGAAGGGAAAGAATAATCCAATCATGAAATTCTGGTCCACGCCTGAAAAAAAATACAAATTTGGACCAAAATATCTAAAATATTCATAAAAATATACAGTTGCTATTGTGGTATGTTGGACGTGGGTATTTCTATCATCATCTCAGTATTTTTTGTTCTTAAAATACAAAGTAATTACCTCAGGTTTACATAGACAGTGTTTTTGTTAATTGTTTACAAAACTAAGACCAGTTACTTTGTTCTATAGACTAAATAAACATAGTTATTGTATACATTGTACATTATACCTTTACATACAAGAATCCTGGTTTTTCCCTCTGAAATGGTCTCAGTAGAGGCAGGCTCAATAACTAACCAAATAACAAGTACCACTACCTAACACAAATCTTGTTAAACCAGGAGAAATTTTTAATCTTCAATCTTTTAAAAACACGTATTTTGAAAAAAAATACAAATTAAATCATTTCAAAAACTTGAATTAATGTCTAGAAAAATTTTAAACTATAGCATATTTATTCTGTTAAAATCGACAAGATTAAAAAAAATCTTTAAAAAAAATGGCAGAATGGAGGACTGGACACGTTCTGACTTTTTTTCTAGCAATTCGTTAAAGGTTAGTTTAGTTAAAACCGTTAAAAATTTTTAAAACGGAACGTTCGTTTCGTTAAAAGTATTGTCCGTTTTTTTAAGCTACCATTTGTTAACGATATCAATATTATTGACGGCTTTAGCGGCAGATATTTTTGATATTGTTAATGGTGCCTGCCTAACACAAGCTATTAACGATTATTTCATGTAAACACAGCTGGACAAATTTAAAGACGGCATTTTTAAAAAATATCAAAATGCATAAATTCTATGGTTAAACAAATAAGCGAGGGAAAACATGAGAAGTCGACGTGTAAAAACATCAAAATACATAAAAGTAAACTTTATTTTCTGCAGCCATTTTCTGTCGCCTTTTTAGAAAACACATCCGTTAAGTTTTTTTAACCGTTGACGACTATATCCGTTAGTAAACGATTTAAACATTAACAGTTTTTACCGTTTGTTAACGGACTCTTCCGTTAACTTTAAAAACAACAGTTTTATTAACGCAACGTTTCCTGCAGCCCTACAGTTACCTCCACTGAAGTGAGGGCTAATGTTATAACCACTGAAGCAGTTGGTGATGTACACTTTAAACAGGACGGATGGAAATCCTCCTCTATACATATACTTTGCTTGTCTGTCAGTTTGTTTGTTTGTTTGTATACAATAAATGTAATAAAAACGGCTGAACCATTTGGGCCAAATTTTTGAGGCAACTTACTTGACTCCAGGGGAAGGTTTGTGGATGCTCAGAATTTTAGAAAAATGTCTCCAAAAAAATTTATTTGGTAAAATTTTGAAAATCTACGAAAATATGAAGAAATCTTCGACCTTTTATTGTTATTGTTTTATATTTTACGAAAAAAAACTCACTGATGAAGCCACAATTTAAATTTGAATTAGAAGATAGGCGTGAATTGCCCTGAATGCCTAGTTTATTATATCACTACGCGCGTAAAACAGAACTTAAAAAATAGAATGAGAAACAAATTATTTTGTTTTGTTGGATAAACAAAGCGTGAATTATCAATCCATAAAATACAAAGAATATCAAACATGTAATTAGCTACCGAAAAAATAGCAAAATGTAATTAGCTGATATGAGAGCCAATAATTATACTGTGCCATTTCCACTCTTTCCTTTGGTACAACATTCTGAGCTGAAAAAATCCGTGAAATCCTGTTGGTCTGAAAATATGTTATAATTTTTGTACAGATACAGGGTTACCCACAAAGGATGAGACTTCAGAGACGACTTTACGAATTTTATTATGTCTTCTTTCTATATTCGTATTTGCCATAACTTTATACTTTTTACATTCTTTGTCAAATCCTTTAGTACAACTATAAAAGTCTATACCAAAGTCCTAAGTCAAATAGACAAATTAAGGATTGTTAGGTCGTCTTTATAGTCATTAGTGGGTATGTATATGATAAGTGGATTTTAGAATAAATTTATATTTTAAATCATATTTTCCTTAGTAACCACAGCAGCGTAGCATAGCGTGTAACAGAATCCTTGAAAAAATCAATGTAATTAAAAATTTAGAAAAAGATTTTTTTTTGTGGTAATTCGCATGACCTGCCCACCCAGGGAAGGCTTAGGGCTGGTTGACATCACCCGTAAGTCGTAATAACAAACCTTTTTGAAATCTTTTTTTTCTTCTAATAAATTATGAAATAACTTACCTATGAGGAATCTCATGACCCCGCAAGTAAAACCTGTTGGTTTAGTTACAATAATAAAAGTTGTGCAGAATGATATAAAAGTTCCCATAATGAGAACACAGCTCAGCTCTCTACTACACGCTTTTACTACAGGAGTATTCCAGTATTTCCATAGAACACCTTAAATATATAGTACAGGGTGTACCAACAAACATGGGAATTTAGTGACGACTTTTAAATCGTCTTCGATGCCTGCATAATACTTTTTTTTAGTAATACAATTATTGCAGTATTCTAGTTTAAAAACGCCTTGTCTTTCAAATGTGGTCATATAAGACACAAGAAAGGTAGACCACATTCCCATGTTAATTGTTACACCCTGTGTTATAATCTATTCACTGATAAAGTTTCAAGAAAAAGACGATATCTGAAAAATTGAAGGAATATTTGTAGGTAAGACTGTTGACTCCAACTGAGCACATTATTTTATAACCATGTTTTATTACATCCATATCTATATATATATATATATATATATATATATAAAGTAGTAATCTCTGTTGGTTTCTTTGTATGTCCCATCATGACTCAGGAACCCTTTTACCGATTTGCCTCAAATTTATATGGAAACTCTGTAGAACCACGGGAATGTTCTTGGGAAGGTTTAAACGTTTTTATTTGAATAGGTTGACTTTTCTAAAGGAAAATTTGTTAAAAGGCACAGCTAGGTTCCCAAGCAAGTTATACATAAAGTTATTTGTATATTATACTTTCTTTTTAAAAAATTGATAAACTTAACGTATAACGGGAAATTTTTCATACTTTTGATCAAGTGCAGCGCGCCAATTAAGATAAAATTGAAATTAAGTGATTTCTTCAAGAAACACAATATTTAGTATTTATATAGTTTCACTAGTTTCACCTATGTAGAAAAGTCACAAGGAAAAAAGTTTCTGAAAAAAAACCTGGAAATAAAAACTTTGGTGAAAAAATCCCAGTTTTCTGCAGTGCTAGGACAAAATTTTACTGGAAATAAAATAATGAGTTTAAAACTTTTTTCCCCAAAGGATATTTAATAATTTATTTCCAGAACCTTTTCATTTCAACGCTTTTTTTCCACAAGACTTTTTTAGAACCAAAAATTAGGTCTTCATTTCCAAAAAAAAATTCAGAGAACTTTTTTGGCAGTTATCTAAATACCTACCCATTGTAATTGTAGTCATAACAAGACCTATTCCAGCAAAAGCCAAAGCACCAAGGGCCCAGGGATTGGTGTAATCAAGGTAGTCCTTAAAAATAAAGTTAATACAGGGAGAACCAGAAAACTCTGGAGTAGAAAGTCGACTTTAAGACTTTAAGTTTAAATAGTCCAATTACCATGAAACATAGAAATTTTGCTGTGTAAACAGACCAATTTCGTTGAATAAGTGATTAAATTTGCAGTGTTGCTTTAATGTCGTTTCTGGAACCCATAAAACTGTAGAATATAAAGACAAGAAGGACTCCCCGCTAATATAAGTATTAATTAAGATACGGGCATTTTTAATTTCGCTAGGCAAGGTCTTTTCAAAAATTATTAATACTTTGTGTAGTTTTTGTTTTGCACATTTTTTGCTAAATATCTGGATTTCCCAATAAATATTTGGTTATTTGAAATTTAGAGTTTCCCCCAGATTATTGAAGTAGAGCCCAAGGGATTTCCAAAAATGCACACATTGATATAGATTAGTACATTAGGGTTACAACTTACAATACTTTTTTCTAAGTCAAGAAGTTGTAAGGTACGTAATAGTTTTAAAAATGAGCGTGATGTCAGAGAAAAGTATAGGAGGGCCGGGAGGAAGGTGGGGGTGGGGGGATAAACAATATGACTTACCTCAGGAGCCAGTCTGCAGTCACTTGTACCATCATCTCTAACTAGGGGAACCATTTCCTAAGAGGTTGATTGGTAGTTAGAAATTAATTCCTTTTTTTCTTCTTTTTTTAGTTTAAGAATTATTAGTTTTCATGATAAAAGAGAAAATTTTAAATGACTTTACTGTGAAACAGGCCCGTAGCCAGGATTAGGTGAAAGGGTACAGGCCCGTAGCCAGGATTAGGTGAAAAGGTACAGGCCCGTAGCCAGGATTAGGTGAAAGGGTACAGCCCGTAGCCAGGATGAGGTGAAAGGGTACAGGCCCATAGCCAGGATTAGGTAAAAGGGTACAGGCCCGTAGCCAGGATTAGGTGAAAGGGTACAGGCCCGTAGCCAGAATTAGGTGAAAGGGTACAGGCCCGTAGCCAGGATTAGGTGAAAGGGTACAGGCCCGTAGCCACACCCCGAACTAACGAGAGAGAGAAGCATTCGGTTTCATTTATTTTGAATCAAACGTGTTTTCGTCTATAACTAAACAGCCTTTAGGCTTACAGATTTGTTTATTTTATACTTTTTCATTCAAAATAATTATGCCAACAAAAAAATATTTATTATAAAAGGCTATAAAATTATTTATAAGGGGTCAAATTGTGATCGAAAGTCACAGTTTTCTGAAATATTGACAGAACCGTTAAATCCACGTGGCCAGGATAAGGTGAAAGGGTTCAGGCCCTTTAGTAATTCCTGGTAACGGACATGGACTAAAATTGTTCAAACTGATGCAGCACGAAAAAGTGATTTCATTTTACCAAATTGTGAACATCAAAATAGAACAGTTGTCCCGGAAATTAGCATGTTTATTTAATAAGGTTGGTTGATCTCGATGCGCTCCTATGCTCGGAAATGTCGTCTCCTTAGCAAAGAAAGATTAAATGAAGTCACTGATTAGAGGCGAGCATGACGTCATATGAGGTTTGTACGGAATTTATACTGTCCGTTTACTTATATTTATGATTCCCTGCAACTGTAAACTGTTTCTTTTTTAAAGAACCTTTTTCAATGTCAAAGATTATCCTAAAAGTAAAGTACTTTTTGGGTGTTATTAATCAAAACAAAAATAAGCTTGATTTTAATTTGATGACGGACGTACCTTAGGGCAGGACTTGCAACCGAACTCTGAATATTTATATTCAAAGTCATGGCACTTCTGGCAGTTCCAACAACAACCATCATTATGCCCTTCAGGTATCTAACAAAAATTCATTAAAAAATCACATTTATAAAAATAAGATAAATCCGTAAAGTATACGTATTTAAAGCGCTTTTAGAAAAGTATGTTTTTTTGTTAAAATGTGTTTCTCAGGCCGGATGTAAAAAAGTCAGTGTCAGTGAATTTCAAATTATCCAGATATACAGGGTTACCCACAAAGAATAAGACTTCAGAGACGATTGTACGGAATTTATACGGTCTGTTTCCTTTTATTTATGATTCCCTGCAACTGTAAACTGTTTCTTTTTTTTGCTATATAATTATATAAGCCATTAGATAAGTTGAGCCAAGGTCAAATATTTAATTTAACCTTGGGATCGTCACATTTTCAGAGTTTTCGGTCGTCTTTACAATCTCATCCTTTGTGGGTAACCCTGTAAATTTAGATTGTGATCTCTGTTTGTCTGTATCAATATCATATCATAACTAAAACCCCCCGGACCGATTTACCGAAATTTGTATTGGTAAAGTCGGTAGAACACGGCAATGTTCTTAGCTTGGTTCTAACATTCTAAGTTGAGTAAGTTTTACTTTAAGTTTACTTTTCAGACAAAGCTGGGTTCCCAGGCTAGTTATAGCATCTAGATATATAAAGTAGTAATCTCTGTTTGTTTGTTTGTTTGGATGCACGATCATAACTCAGGAACACATTTTGATTTGAGAACTCGGGAGAACCACGTTTTAGCTTGATTTTAAGAGCCTAAGTTAAGCGGGTGGACTTTTATTCACGACCATGTGCGGGAGAAACGGCGGGAGTAACTATGAACACATATACACACCTTTATTTCATTTGAAGCACATAGATTTCTCCTACACGTCACGTGACTGTTTATATAGCTGGCTTCTTTGTTCTTCTCACTGAAATATACTTAACGTCAGAAGCTAGGAAAGGGAAACCAATGCAAACAATTGAAAAGTATAATTCATCTAGACGTCAATTTTTAGAAGAAAAAACATTATTTAACCTGAAAGAGAGGTTGAGGTCTCTTATTTCTCCGCCCTGAAAACATAATAATGCCTTGTCAAAACAATTTCTAACGATCCTTTGATAATTTAACCTGGAATGTTCCAACATTTTCCCAATCAAATTCTCCAGATGGTCGCCTAGGATCATTCAACTTTTTAAAAATTCAGTTTTGGATTGAAAAGTAAATATTATGAATAGGATTGAGATTTTTATATTATTGAAAATAACAAGAGATATGAACAATTTTGTTTAAATTTCATTTTATTAAAGAAAAACTAAGAAAATGTCTTATTCTGAACGATATTTTTTTATCTCCGGTAATTATGAACGTAAAAAAATGGTAGACCACATTTAGGAAATTACAGGATAAGGGCTATTCTGTGGTTATTGTTTAATAAAAAATATTTCTTTAATCAGATTGTCTATGTTGATTGCCGTAAATTAGTTTTAAGGTTAAAGACGACTTTGAAGCCATCAATCAATTTATATTACTCCGGGTTATTTAGAATAGGACTGTAATATATTTTGGTTTAATAGTTTGTTCCTGTAGTAAGTGATAATACTGTATCTAGCAGGACCATCCCGTGTCTCGTTCTTGAATCGGAACGGGAAATTGTCGACGTCAGGGAAGGAAACTTTAGCAAGATAATACTTCAGATCTTTATACATTCGCAACCTAAATATGTTTCAATATGGTTTTTAATTAAAATATGTAGTTTGTTGATGATTTAATTTTTTGTCCGATATTCACCATTTTTTTCGATGAAAGAAAAATTAAAAAATCACGGATTTACAATTTTGTTTTCGTGGATCTTCTCAATTTTATAAAAAATTTCATTTTTGAGGTCATTTGAAGGGCCTCAAAAATGTTGAGCCCGATCGATTTGGCTGTTTTGACGTTTATTGGATACAAACAAATTNCTAGCACTTAGTGTGGCATATTTATTGATTTATTTTCGAAACTAAGGAGCAATAAAGAAAGCTTTAACAATATTGTACACCATAGGGCCATTAAAAGAGGTCAATATGGTCTTATTTCTAAGAAATAAACGATTTAATTTTATGCTTTTTTGGGCTGATTACTATTTGAGGTGGAGGAGATTAGCAATTAAGGAGCACGCTTGCCGTAAAACAGATTTGGGTGGCGGTGATTACTATTTGAGGAACTCTGGACTGCCTCCCTCATACAGGTAGACCTCCCTGAGTTTATCACAAACACCAACTGTACCTTTACTATATAGATTTACAGGTAAACCTCCCTGAGTTTATCACACACACCAACTGTATGTTTATTATATTTATTTACAGGTAAACCTCCCCGAGTTTATCACAAACACCAACTGTATGTTTACTATATATATATATATTTACAGTGAAACCTCCCTGAGTTGATCACAAACACCAACTGTATCTTTATTATATATATTTACATATAAACCTCCCTGAGTTTATCACAAACACCAACTGTATCTTTATTTTATATATGTTTACAGGTAAACCTCCCTGAGTTTATCACAAACACCAACTGTATGTTTGCAGGATTCTCTACGAAGATCATCAAGTGCCAGAGCAAAGGCGTAAACAGCATCCCTGGGATAAAAAGTGGTTTCCAGAAAACTACTGTGGTCGGCGATTACATCGATACAATGAAGACGACTTTTTTATTTAAGGTTTATTTGTTAACAAGCTTTTTTAGAATTAAAGGTTTAGAAGTAATTCAGAAGAAGCTTTTTTTTAATTAATAGCTTTTCTTTGTTTCCATGTTTAAGTGTACCCATTGCTGTTTAAAATATTGATATAAATCAAAATTTAAGTAAAAGTCGTCTTCAGTGTACTGATATATGCGATAATGACTGCATAAACGTTGATTTATATACAATATGCTTTTAAGTTCTTTTTCTATAAACCAGAAATACTTGTATACTACTTTTTTCCGTTAATCTCGTATAAAGCTTTAAGGAGAAGTTTGTTTAACTCAGATTTGAAATATATACAGAAAAATAAGGTCAAATTTTTGAGACATTTCTGATATTATTTTGGGACGTTTTGAATTCTTTAATTTGATTTTACACAAAAGTATGAGAAATTTATTCGGTCACTTAATAGAAATCCAATCCATTTTTTGTTCTTCTCATTCTCAATAGTTTATTTTTATTAAGGTAAGTTATGATTGAAAACCCATAATTCCATACTCCGTGAAAGGAATTGAGTCTTTGTTTAAAATAAGGCGCTTATTTTAAACCGGGTTTTGGCAGATTTAAACCGGCGGCGCTCAAATTCTTTAAATTTCATTTAAATTCGGCCACTGATTGTGTAAACCTTTGATATTTTAAACTTAGATTATTTGATCTTACAAAATTCGTTTGAAATATCTAAGGTCTATGACATTGGGTTGCAAAGATATAGGGTTTAAAAAATCAGAGTTTGTGACACAATTCTTTTATTATTTAGTGTGTGGTGAACTACCTCAGAAAGTGAAGATACTGCTGCTGTACATTTTTAGCATCTTTTGATTTCTAAAATAAGGTGTAAAATTGTATTTTACATGTTTTTACCATGCACAATTTATTTGTAAATTGAAATTTTGTCTTTTTTAATGAAAACCAAACCAAACCTGTTTAAAAGGACAGATATTCTGGGCCTTCTTCATTTCCTAGATAAATAAAAGCATTATTTCAGATGCATGGTTTAAAAGGAACTGTAAGTGTAATTTCTGATGGTTTAAAGAGACTGTAAGCGTAATTTCTGATGGTTTAAAGGGACTATAAGTGTAATTTCTGATGGTTTACAGAGACTCTAAGCGTAATTTCAAGTGTAACCTAGGAGAGGCATTCATGATTCACAATGGTACCCCTTCAACCTTTGACTCGTTAAACTTTGTTAAACACTTTGTTTGCAATCTGATTTAATTTCAAGAATATAAATTACAATTTCAAGAAGTTGTAGAATATAAATATTTATTTTGTGGATTTAGAATATTCGAGATTTTCCAGGATTAGATGTGACGTCATCAACCAGGTTGACGTCACAAAACTCTAATTTTACGGCTTTTACACACTATTTAAGAGATATATATAATATGTACGGAAATCTCTGTCGTCGATGATTCGTCAAAGGATTTAAGGGTTCCCTTGTCAATCGGAAATGTCCTTCTTTAAAGGAAAGGTCACTTGAAATTACTCTTACAGCCCTTTTAAACCTTTATTGGATTAAAGGGAGAGACCGGCTAGGTAACATATTTGAATCATTCAAAAATGCAGTATCTAAAGAAAACATTTTAGGATTCATTTAATAACAGACGTTTTACGGTGTATAATTTCTAAGTAAGAGCGTATATTTGTTGGTATTTCGCCAGTTTGTAGAAGAAATGTTTTTTTAAATCATCTAATAACCTGCACAAAAATTCTATAAATAATTCTACAGTTAACTTAACAGTTTAGGAACATATTTCATAGAGAAAAAATCAATGGTACAATCAATTATTTCTCGATAGTTTTAAAATTAAATTCTTTGCATATTTCTTCAAATATCGCCTTTTCGATTAAAATTCCCGAGAATCTACTGAAAACGTTAGTGAACAATCAAACAGTACAGAAACCGATAAATAATTTTCAAGATTACTTATTTTTGATGTGAAAAGTTAATTTTGTTTTCTGAACCTGTTTCTAAACAACAATTTAGTTAACAGTTAGACGTTTTGTTACAATTTCGTCCGGGTTATTAACCCTATTCCTGCTGGGGGGGGGGGGGGTCAAGTTGACCCCCCCTGTAGTTTTTTTTT